GCTAAGTCTTTTTTTTTTTTTTTTTAAATAAACAGGAAGCACAGTCCTATGCAGATGACAACAGTTTATTATTCATGGAGACATCAGCTAAGACATCAATGAATGTAAATGAAATATTCATGGCAATAGGTAAGATTAATAATATTTTTCAAATGATAAGCAAAGTATTTGGTTCATGCCCTCTAAAACATTATTTGGTTTTCTTAACTGATTATACTATTTTTTTTAAGATCCTGTCCACTAAACAATATTTTGTTAGGAATACTGTAAAGACTGGTTGGCAAGCAGGACATAGTAGCCAGCCTGTTGGTCATAAGACCCTGCCTAAGAGTGAGGTTAAAAAAAATTTACTGTCAGGACCCCCCCCCCCCCCGGAATTAAATCCAGGGCCTCCAGCATGCTGTACCTATCACTGAGCTACATTCCTAGCCTCAGTAATGTCGTTCATTCATGAATTAATATTGGGTTATATAATATAGCTGTATTAAAAGTTGATCTCATAGGTAAGAGGTAAATTTTCCTGTGTACAGTAGTCTCTTATTTGTAGGGAATATGTTGCAAGACACACTGTGAATTCCTGAAACTATGGATGATGTTAAGCCTTTTGGTACTTCTGTCCTACGTATACATAGAGATGGAATAACAAAACTAGCATAGATTTCCTTTTCCTTCCCATTTTCACAAAGATTCATTTCTGCCTGGAAAAGGGATCAGACCCCATTTCTTAAATAATGGTAGGCAAGTGCTGTACTATGAAACTACATCTCCAGTGTTGAAGGTTTGTTTCCATGAGTTTGAGTTTCACTGATGCTGAGTTCAAGTTTAGGTTTTGTACCTCAGACTTCAGAGTGCTGGGTTTATATGTGTACCAACAGACCTGGCTTGGAAGTTTTCTTTTTATTCTTTCTTTTTCTTTCTTTCTTCTTCCTTCTTTCTTTCTTTCTTTCTTTCTTTCTTTCTTTCTTTCTTTCTATTTATTGTGTGATTGTTTTGTTGTTGCTTTGAGGTAGGGTCTCAACTACCAACAGACCTGGCTTGGAAGTTTCCTTTTTATTCTATTTATTTATTCATTGTGATATTATTTTGTTGTTGCTTTGAGGTCTCAAGTACCCGAGGATGACCTTGTACTTGTGCTTTAGGGCCATTCTAAGTAAAATAAGGGTTACTTGAACTTGAACACTATGATACCAAGGTACTCTGATAACCAAGGTGGCTACTAGTAGGTAGGTGTAGTTGGTACATACTGTTGGAATGTTAGACAGAGATGATCCATGTTCAAGGCAGGAAGATGGTGACAATGAAATATTTCAACATGTACCTTAGAATAGCTTTTGTTTAATACACACCTGCACACAGGTGCTCTTGATTGTGGAAGCCAGAGGTTGACATTGCGATGTTTTCCATTATTTCTCCATCTTTCATTTTTAAACATTTATTTTGTGTGTGTGCCATAGCACAAATGTAAAGGGCAGGACAATTTCTGGGGCTTACTCCTTATACCATGTAGGTTCCAGATATGGAACTGATGTCATAAAGGTTGGCAATGAACAACTTTACCTCATGAATTGAATTATCTTGCTATCACATTGTTTTGAGCCTCTTTTTTTTGGGGGGGGGGGTGTTTTGTTTGTTTTTGTTTTTCTAGACAGGGTAAAGTGTTGCTTTGGAGCCTGTCCTGGAACTCCCTTTGTAGACCAGGCTGGCCTCTAATTCACAGAGATCCACCTGCCTCTGCCTCCCAGTGCTGGGATTAAAGGCTTGTGCCAACGCCCAGCTGAGCCTGAATCTTTGAACTGTACGCTCATCGAAAATCCCAAGATCTACCCCTAGTGGTGGAGTTACATTTTCATACTTTCACATGGGTGCTGAGCATCCAAACTCAGTCAGAATTTACTGGTTACACAACAAGCATTCATTAACTGAACCTGTTTTATTTTTGACAGAGTCTTACTGTATAGCCAAGACTGGCCTGGAACTCCAAATCCTTTTGCCTCAGTCTCCCAAGTGCTGGGATTACACTTTAGACTTCTTTTTAAGACTTGTAGGCTGGGCAAGTACCTCTGTGGTACAGTGCTTGTGTTATATTTCTGAAACCTGACTCTATTCCTCGATTCCAGATTTTGTTTCAAATTAAACTCTTTCCTTTCTTTAAAGAAATCTCCAGTGTAAATGGAACTGTGGTCATTTCCTTGATAAAGTTAGCATCTCAAATCACATAGTACAGTCCAGTGAGCAAAATCAGTTCTTGGTGCTGTTTACTTCCTTCCTCCTCCTGATCTCAGTCAGATGTGATTATAGAAAGTCCTTAGAGGAGTAGGCTATAGAGAGAAATTATGCACATTCTAAAACCCAACTCAGTATTTATTTTAATACAGCCTATAGTGCTAGCTTATACTGTTACTAGTACCATTGTTAATCTGCTTATTGGGCATTGCTTGTAAATACATTTGACTGAACATTTATCTTTATTGTACTTTGGTACCTACTGGCTCTAGAGCCATTCTTAGGGTGGCCCAGTAGAAGCTGTCTTTCCAAACATCAGTATAAGTGCTCACTGGATTTGCTTCTCGCATCTGAGGTGCTAAAGATAATATTGATGTGGGGAAGGTAGGAAAAAATAGTTTTAAAAAATGCAGGATGAGGGTGTGTGGCTTAGTGGTAGTTGTTAATGTGTAATGTGCAAGCCCCTGGGTTTCTGGCACAAAACAACAAAGGTCCAGGATTCCAGGTAGGGATTGGATTGTACTATTCAGGAATATTGCTGCTTTGTCCTCAGGATTAAGCCATGGATCTAGCAGGTGCATTTTTAGTGGGGAGCACTACTAAACCACTATTAGTCATATAGAACCACAAAGCTATTTGTGTATAGTAAGTATCATTATTTGTAAATCAGATTAAGGTTCTCATAGCCCAAGAGGGGAAAACATAGATGTTTAAAGGGTGTGTCTGTTTTACTTAGTTTTGTTTTTCAAAATGGAGTTGTGATATGCTTCTCAAGCTAGTTTTAACTTCCAGGGCTCAAGTGATTGTCCCAACTCATTCTCCAGAATGAATCATGGAAATTGCAGTCATGTTCCACCATGTCTAGCAGATTGTATATAATAAAAATGTAATGATTGTAAAATAGTTTGAGTATATCTAGTGGTAGTGGAGTTGCCTAGTTTGCATGTGAACCAATACAACACAAATTAAGTAAAATGTTATTTCTGTGGGAATTGATATAAAAATTATGTATACTTCTAGTTAAATTTAAGTTTAAATGGTATGCCTACAGTTGGCCTCTACCTACTTCACAAACACTAAAGAAATTAAATTCCTTTAGTACAGCAAACCAGTGGTGTATTTTTGGGGGGTTATTTGGTGTTTGGCTTTACCTTCTGGCTTTTAATAGATAAAAAATTTTTGAAAAGAGCATACTTAAGTCAGTCACGTAAAACTTTGGAGATAACCCAACTGGGAAAGAGTATTATATATAAGTAGGTCTAAGTGGTTTTATAATTTTATTTTGGTCATTTCTTTCTTAGCTAAAAAGCTGCCAAAGAATGAACCACAGAATCCAGGTGCAAACTCTGCCAGAGGACGAGGAGTGGACCTTACTGAGCCTGCACAGCCTGCCAGAAGCCAGTGTTGTAGTAACTGAACTTCCTAAGTGGCAAAAACCATGGTGTGGGAGCATTTAGCCGGCCCAAATGTGACTTCCAAAAAGAGACTTATGGTAGAATCAAGTTTCTAATACTGAATTATTTTGAGTGTTTTGAACTTAATTTTTAATAACATGCATGTGTTCTTCCAACTAATGTTTCGGCAGTAGAAAGGGAAAAGAGAACTGTGTACAATTTCTTCATGGGAAAGTGCAAGGAAACCATTCATCTCCAATGGGTATGGATCCACATTTAACCCACCCAGTCTCCAACCTGGGATAATAGTCATGTGTAAAGATTCAAAATTACTAATGTGAGTGAGCTTTAGGAAAACATTTTTAGAAGACTAAAAATATTTATGCTTAGCAACAGAAGACATGCAAATGGTAATTTCTTATATTGGCTAAAAAGTGTACATTCCACATATTAATAAAATAATCCAAAGAAAACAGTCCTACATCTCCAGAAAGAATATTACTGACATCTTACTCAGTCCTGTTATTTTTTAATTTGACTGAAAAGTCATGTGTAACCCTATCTTGTTTTAGGAATATAAAAACTGATAAATGCATTTTAATGGATAGTGGTCCTTTTGTGTGAGCTCTTCAACAAAGTGGAAACAAACCAGGTGTCTGATTTCTCTTTAATCACTGTTGGCCATTACATAGAGATCTGTCTGGAGCAGGAAGGGAGCCCTGGTTCCCTTTGGACATGATTAGTCAGTGCACTAACAATTATGTACATTCAAACGTGATTTTAAATATGATCTTCAGCTGTACTGTAAATAGAGTACTGCATTGTAGCTTCCATGTTTATTATTTTCTGTAATATTTAAGAATTGCCTAAGTGCATACAAAATGTACAGATACTAAAAAAGCTAATTATTTCTTTCTTCCCCCATGAAAGGAAGGGGCTTTGCTGTTCTTACATGGCTAGAACCATAATAAACACTGTACCTGCAATTTGTAACATAAGTATTACAATGCTATTAGTAATAATCTTGAAATCTTGTTTTTCAAAGTCCATTTTATTTTGATCAGTATATTGCACTAATTATTTTAGGTATTTTCGTATTTTCATTATATGAAATCAACCATGGGTCAGATGATTTAATCTATTTAAGTGTTGATCTAATAGCAGAACTTGTACATTTTACAATAACTCAAAATTAGTAAGGAAAACAGTTCACCAGTGTTTAGTTTTATATTGAGGTGCTCAGGTTGGAATAAAGTGGTATAAAAAGCAACACTGAGTTTTCTTTCTCTTTAACATAACACACATCATATATAACCGGAAACTTTTGTGTTTTTTTTCCTGTTTAGAATGATTCTCGGAGTCATGATCTGTCTTATCTCTTAGAGTCTGGTGCACTGGAGTCTGTGGTACTGTTTGCTGCTCTGGGTCTTTGGAATGTTGTTATGTTAGCAGCTGATAATCACTCCCATTGAGCAGTATTACCATAACAGTGACACTGTCTCTGGAACCACCTTCTAAGGCAGCACTTACAAGTTCATGGCTAATGTATTCAGCTGCACCTTCATAGAAATTCTTAGCATATAGTTCTTTCTCACTTCCTGTCTTACTGTCTATACTGGGTAGGCTGTTAGTTTCTTTCTTGCTGCAAGTGTCATAATTAGTCGTTTCTGGGAGAAATGTTTCTGCATTTTTAGCCTGATAAATGGAAGCTTGAGAATATATTGTATCAGATGACCTTTTTGTTAGATTAGTAGTTGACATAACTTCTTCAAGTTCAGGTTTGTACTGGAACAGCACACGAATATTATTGTCTGATAGGGAAAAAGGCTCTTTAGATGGCCAGGATTTGTTTTCAGGACCAGAATATGTTTCTTTATATGCATGAAACAAGGTAATTACCAGTGCAGTGACTTCCTTCTTGTCCAGAACTTCCCAGAGCCCATTAGTGGCTAAGATGAGAAATTGACATAAATCATCTATAGGGACAGAAATTGTTTGGGGTGCTGGAATAATAGACTTCTTCAGTGTGAGGTTTCCATGGAATCCAAGACCCCTGGTGGTTTTTATGTGCCCTTCCAGGAGGCCATTTGAATTGATTACTGCTCCTCTCTGAAGGACTCTTCTTCTCTCCTTGGTGTTTCGTGTAGTGTGTTCTTTGGTCAGGCAAAATCCTTTTCCATTTCTGCATAAGACTGCTTGCACATTACCTAAAAGGGTTTTTTTTTTTTTTAAAAAAAAAAAAAAGAATGAAATCTAATTATCACTTTGTGTTAAATTGTATTAATTCTGTTTCAATACTAAACACAAAGTATGACTTGTAAATTTTTTAAAATACATAAGCTGAACACTGTACAAATACAGTTTTTGAGCTTGGAAAACACCTAATTTGAATATCAGTGATAACCAGTAAGCATTTAAAATACTTAACTAAAACTACAGGTCATGAAAAATAACTTCTAAATCAAGTTTTTATGAAACTATCAAAATAGGATTTTTACTATTAACATCTATGTGGCAGATGTTTAAAATATTCAAATAAATCTTTTTTAATAGCTAATTTATGTATATGTGTGGCCAGAAGAGTATTGGATTTCCTAGAGCTGAAGACATGGCTGCTGAAAACTGAACTCTAATCCTCTGGGGAAGCAGCAGGTGTTCTTAAACACTGAAACATCTCTACAGACATGTTGGAGAGAGAACCCATCAGTAAAGAGCACATACTGGCAGAGGACCTGAGTTCAGATCAGTTGCTAGTACTCATATAGGTTGGTACACAACTGCTTATAATTCCAGGTCTAAGGACATCTGATACTCTTGGTGTCTGTGCCTCTCTTTGTGTGCACACACCCACACATACACATAAAAATAATAAACCATGAAGGGAACAAAAGCTCCTTGGGGTTGGTAAGAGGGTTAGTAGGTAAAGACACCTGCTGCCAAGCCTGAAAAACCTGAGTTCCATCCTTAGATCCCACTTGGTGAAAACAACTGGCTTATGCAAGTTGTTTTCTGACCTCCATATTAGATATGCACACAAACACACAAAATAAAGTAAAACAAAACTAAACTAAGCTAAATAGTGAAAGATAAAACTCAAATGTAGTTAGGATAAGGTTGGTTTCTGTAATGTGTGACTGAGCCATAAGTTCTGTTAAAAATTTACATTAGGTAAATAGGCAGCCACATTAAAACCTGCAGTTGAAAACTGAAGTCTTCATTAAGTGATGGCAGTTGAGCTGAACCTGTGTTGTGTGCATCATATTGTTTCATTGAAGTTCTGAAGTCTAAACATGGTCTGAACAAATTATTAAAAGATGTTGTTAGAGGAGGGGGCTTAGATTCCCTCCCCTCACCCCCCCACACAAAATTTTAGAATCATTTTATGTGTGAAAACCAGCAATGGCTCTTGGTACAATTGTGATTCACAAGTTGTCTGAGGTGACATTGGTATCTGAATATTCTTGAAAATTAAAATTCCTATTTTAATCTGCCAAGTCTAAAAGTAAAATATTGTGGGGCCAATTGAGATGGTTCAGTGAGTAGAGAGGCTCTTGATGACCCGAGTTTGATTTCCTGGAATCCATGTGGTAAAAGGAGAGAACCTGCTTCTAAAAGCTGTTCTTGACTTCAGCTTTTTAACCCCCCTTTTTTTTTTTGTTGTTTTTTGTTTTGAGATAGAATCTCAGTGTGTAGCCCAGGCTGACCTGAACTTGAGATCTTCCTGCAGGAAAAGCCTTCAATTTTTTTATACATCCAACTGGTATGATTGAACAAAAACCCTGACTGGATGTCAGGTGTTCATTGGTATTGGCTAATTAACATAATGGGATGAATGATACTTTAGCTCTTGGGTTGGTTGTAAAATTTGACCTTAGAGCTATGCAAATGTTTTTGGATATTGTTCTTTTATGCTTACTTGTAGATCTGCTTGACTCTAACAGGTAAGTCATTAATTCTTGGACGTGGGTGAAAATTATTTTGGGCTTTTGTTTGTTTTGTTTTTGGTTTCTCAACACAGGATTTCTCTGCATAGGTCTGGCTGGCCTCAAACTCACAGAGATCCACCTGCCTCTGCCTTCCAAGTGCTGAGACTAAAGGTGTTTTGACATCACCACCCAGCTTTGTTTTTGTTTTGAAACATCTGGCCTTGAACTCCCTTTGTAGCTGAAAATGTCTTTAGACTCCTGGTCTTCCTGCTATCTTGTGCAATCATGTCCTGTTCTGAGTCTTACACATGCTAGATAGGCACTCAGCAAACTGTTATGTCCCTGGCTTTAAGTCAGTAGCTGGATCCTGTCAGGTTCTAAGTAATTGTCACCAGCAAAGCAACACAGAGTGGCATTTAACATGGCAACTGGGTGAACTGTTAGGATATAGTTCAACATCTCTCTTAAAATGGGGGGGAGGAAGTATGGGTATGTGTAAATAATGCTACTGTAGCTTTAAAGTTAGGGGGTCATAGTTCAACTTTATCATGTTTATTACCATGTGGAATTCCTATGCCTACTCGGTGAAAGAAAGCATCAAAGAAAAGCTTGAATTCACATACCAACTTACAAGGCAAGGTGGTAGGCAAGCATTTTGACTTCTGTTGAGAGAGAGCTTGGTAAATTTAGCCTTATACCTGATGTGTGTGTCCCTGCCCTAACATATACATAATCTAGATAAGATACTAAAATGGTAGATACATGAAAATACTAAAAGGAGTAATAACTCAGGAAGATAAGGCAGGTGGATCGTGAGTGTGAGGACAGCCTGGGCTTAATATGAGATCATTGTGTCCAAAAAAATTAAAAAGGGGCTAACCCATTTTACCAAACAGTCCTTGGTAATGTACTGTTAAGTCCCCCCCCATATTGATGAACTAATGAAGAAAGTATGAAGTTCTTAAGGCAAAGCAATAATAGGCAGGGGAGATGAATCAATGGCTAAGAGCACTTGCTGTGCTTCTGGAGGACCCCAGTTCAGTACCGTATCCGGTGGCTCACAACAGCTTGTAACTCCAACTCCAGGGGATCCAATGCACTCTTAAAACTCCCTGGACATGGTATATTAAATTCATAAAAATAAGTGTTATATATATTATATACATATACATGTATACATACACACAAACCTCTGGTGACTAAATCTCAGAAAAATGAAGAAAAGAGAGAGAGAGAGAGAGTTGGAAAGGTGAGGGGAAAGAAGAAATGGTAGGTGAATTTGAGAACAGTAGGAACCCTGAGTGGTGTACAACTTTAATTCAAGCACTAGAGAAGCAGAGGCAAGTGAAACTTTGAAGTTTGAATTCCAGGCCAGCCGTGGCTACATGTGATACCCTATCCAGAAAGGAGGAAGGGGGGGTCAGATTATAATCTCACACTTGGGAGATTGAGTGAGGCAGAAGGGTTGCCACAAGTTCAAGGCCAGGCTGGTCCACAAAGTGATATGACCCAGTCTCACATAAACGGGTTGGAGAGATGGCTTGGTAGTTTAGAGTTGCTCTTGCAGAAGACCTGGGTTCAATTTCTCACATTCACATGGGGGCTCACAACCATCCATAACTCTAGTTCCAGGACATCAAGTTCTGAGGACATCAAGTGCACACAAGGTGCACATATGTACATGCTATCCTAACATATACATAACTGGATCTTTTGAGGTGTTTTTAATTTTTTTATGATTTAAAAACGAGGGAGTATTGTTTGTTTTTGCACTTTTGGACTTTTATGGGGGCCCTGCCCACTCAACTCCCAATCACAAGTCTTATGATTACTTACGCATGCTTGGCCTTAGCTTAGCTTGACTTGTTTCTACCCAGATTTTCTTATCTTAAATTAACCCTCTGGGATTTTGTCTTTCTTATTTCTGCATTATCTTACTTTCATTCTTACTCTGAGGCTGGCTGGGTAGCTGAATAGCTGGCCCCTGCCTCCTCTCCATTTTCTCTTGCTTGCTCCCTCTTTTCTCCTATTTATGCTCTCTGCCTGCCAGCTCTGCCTATCCTTGCTCCTGCCTCACTATTGGCCATTCAGCTCTTTATTAGGACCATCAAGTGTTTTAGACAGGCAAATAAATAACCACAGCTTCACACAGTTAAACAAATAGCACAAACAAAAGTCGCACACTTTAAAATAATATTCCCCAACAAGGGAAGGAATGGAGGGAAAAGCCAGTGAGATGACTCAGTGGGTAAAGATGCTTTTGCTGCCAAGCCTAATGACCTGAGTTCAATTCCCAGAAGCTACATTTTAGAAAGCAAGAACTAATTCCTGAAGGTTGTATGGCCTCCACACATGTGTCATGGCCTGTGAGCACACACAAACACTGAACTCAGATCATCTGCAATTAAAATATTTAATTGAAAGAAAACAAAAGGTGAAACTGCAGATGGAGAAAGAAAAAGCTGTAGATGGGTCCCAGTGAGCTAACTCAAATGGCTTAAAACCAGAGAAAGAAATTCTCTAAAGCAGCCACAAGAGGGAACCACATTCTGAACAGAAGAACAAGAGTGACAGACAGCAATGCCAGCCAGGCCAAACAGTAGAGCATGTTCCACAATGGGGAAAATCTGTCAGTCTGGAATTGCATACCAAGTGAGTATTTCCTTTAAAAATGACAGGCAAATAAGATACTAAGAATTCATCACCAGCCTGTGTGGGTGGTGCCTAGCACTTAGGAGGCTGAGTCAAGTGGATTTCAGCTTGAGGCCATCCTGGGTTACACAGTGAGAACAGGACAGTCAAGGATATATAATAGACCCTGTCTCAAAAACTAAGAAAAATCCATCACTAGTTACAGGACAGTCAGGGATACATAATAGACCCTGTCTCAAAAAAAAAAAAAAAAAAAAAAAAAAAATCCATCACTAACAGACATCACAGAGACCAAGGAAATCTTCCAGGTAAGGAACAAATCTGTATAAAGGAGTTCCTAAAAGATGCAGCAGTTTTCCTTACTGAACCAAAAAAAGATAACTGTTAGGGTACTTTGAATATAATTGCCCCCCCCCCCAATAAGCTCAGGAGCTCAGGGAGTGGCATTATTAGGAGGTGTGGCCTTGGAGGAAGTATGTCACTGTGGAGGCTGGCTTTGAGGCCTCATAGTGCTCGAGCTGTAGGACTCTGAGCTACCTCTCCAGCACCACATCTGCCTGCTCCCCATCATAATAATTTACAGAACCTCAATTTTTTTCCTTTATTGCTGTGGTTATAGTGTCTCTTCACGGCAATAGGAACCCTAATTATAGGAACCCTAATTAAGATGACTATTAAAAAATATAATACTGTGCAGGATATATAAATATACATCATATAAACATAAACAAATGTATTGTGTAATTAAAATAATGACTGAGCCAGGTGTAGCCATACACACCTATAATCCCAGCACTGTGGAGTCAGAGGGAGAAGAGATACCAGGTTAGTCTAACCTACCTATAGAGAGTTAAGAGATACAAAATATGGGGCTGGGGAGCCAGATTGGGTTAAGAGCACATAATGCTTTTGCAGAGGACAACAGACAAAATGACAGTGTTGAAGGACATGGGCAAATAGAACTTTTAGCCATCACTAAGTGGATAGTATCACAGTGTCACCATTCTGGAAAGCTCTGATAATTCCACTCTCAGTATATCTGTAAGTGTGAGTATTTAAATCCCATAAGGATTTAATGACATAAACAGAAGAGCAAGAAAAATTACAAGATAGAGTATAAATGATAAGGATAAAAACTCAATTATATGCTGACACCCAGATTTAAGAAGGTAAGGTAGTAGGACTGTAGACTCAAGATAGTAGGTCAAGTTTAAGACTGCACTTGAAACTTGGTGAAATCCTGTGTCAAAACAACAAAATGGGCTGGAGATATAACTTGATGATAAGAGGATTTGCATAGCCTCTTAGCCAGTAGAAAGCCTAGAAAACTGAAGGGAAAAATGGTTATTTTACTGATAATTAATACAACATGGCTACTGAGCATGAGAGCAATGTTACACATGTATTAGTCTCTGTCTGGGAATGTAGCTCATTATGGTGTGTGGCCAGCATTCACAAAGTCCTAGGTTATACACTCAGCACCAAGAGTTAACAGTACATGTTTGTAACCCAACTCTGAAGAGATGGAGGCAGGAAGATCACAAGTTCAAAGAGATCCTCCTGGGCTACATGTAAGTCTGAGGCCAGCTTGGCATATAAGGCTCCTGGCCCTAAAAGTAACCAAAAGTTGGACAGGTCTGAACAAGTTACTGAGAAAAATCAACATTTCAGTCTCTCAAAAGGAGGCAGTAAGTTCCTTGTGTCTGTTTTTTTTTTTGTTTAGATCTAGCTAACATAGGTGCTGTATTTTATGCATTTACAATTTTAATTGAAAACTTTAATATATGTACATAAATATATGTATTATGTACAATATATGAGGGTGTGTGTGTGTGTGTGTGTGTGTGTGTGTGTGTGTGTGTAGAAGTCAAGAACAATTTTTAGGAGTCCGTTTTGTTCTTCCAACAGGTAATTTCAGGGATTGAACACAGGTCATCATCAGGCTTTACAGCTAGGACCTTAACCTTCTGAGTCATCTCACCAGCCCCATTTGGAAAATTTCATGCTTTGTCACATTCAACATTCTGTATGAGTTTCCTTCAAGATTGAAACATTTCATCCTGCAGGGAAGCTCCTTAGGCAGAAAGGCAACAACTCAAAATAGCGTTAGGAAGTCTCTGAAACTGAACAGATTCACAAGGTCCCTCCCTCCCAGAATAAGCAGTAAAGCTGCTGAGTCACTCTCTGACAAGCCAAGCTGCCAAGAAGACTTGAAGATGAGACAAGCTAAAAAAGAAAACAAACCAACAAAGAAACCTGAGGCCTGACCAGCTACTTAGAAGAAGCAGACACTATATGTGCCTGGAGAAGGTTTAGAGCAGAGTCACTTGGAAAAGACACTCACTCTCCAACCTGTTGAGCTGCCTTCAGGCTGTGCAGTGTGTTCCATATTACCAGCGATGTAAGCTGTCACCTATGCTGGGGTGGGCTTTGGTGGTACAGCTATCTGTAAGTCATTTCTGCTCCTATAAGTAACCCTCATCCATATTCCTGTTACCCCAATAAAACTCATTGGTTCACCAAGTTGAACTTTGGTGGTATCTATACTTTGATCCTTATCTGGGTTGAGTAAGACATGCATGTTGTATCTGGACAAGAAGTTTTGTCATAAAACTATTATTAGTGTCTATGAAAATAATTACAATTATTTTTGTGCCTACAAGCTATAGGTAAACTGGAGGGTTTTGTTTCTTAATTGTTCAGTACAATGTCTAGACATTAGCAAACTACTTAAATGATGAGTAATTCTGGAAGCAGGAGAGGTTTTCTGCAGGCATTTACAATATTTAGATGTGCACAGCTAAACATTGAGCCAAACTCCTGGAATCCAGATGCAGAGAGGGAGGAGTGATGAGCAAAGGGGTCAAGACCAGGCTGGAGAAATCCACAGAGACAGCTGACCTGAACAACAGGGAGCTCGTGGACCCCAGTCTGAAGCTGGGAAACCAGGATAAGACCAACCCAGACCCCCTGAATGTGAGTGTTAGTTAGGACTAGGCTGTCTATGGGGCCTCTTGTAGTGGATCAATATTTATCCCTAGTATATGAATGGACTTTGGGAGTCTATTCCACATAGAGGGCTACTCTTTCAGCTTAGACACATGGGAGAGGGCCTAGGCCCTGCTCCAAATGATATAACAGAAGATTGCCCATGGAAGGTCTCACTCTCCCTGGGGAACAGAAAGGGGATGGGATGAGGGTTGGGACGGGGGGCAGGAGGAAGGGAGGGTGAGGGAACTGGGATTGACATGTAAAACAAGCTTGTTTCAAATTTAAATAAAAAATTAAAAAAAAAATAGATATCATGCATACATACCAGCATTTGCAATGTGTAGTACCCCAGAAATGATCTGCGGGCTCTTCTGAAAGGGTAAATTGTCACTGCCTTGCTGATCCATTTTTGCCCAGTCCTTACTAAAGTATGGGTTCTTAATTATACCCTCTAATATACAAGTGAGCGCAGAGCAGCCACTCCACCGAACCCGGGAAACCTCATTCCTTCCAAGTCGTAGGAGCCTATCCATCCTCCAAAATGCTTTTGCAAAGGCTTTGTGTATTTCCTCATACTCCCGTCTATTGGTTCTGAAGGTTTTGTATGTGGAAGAAAAGATCTCTTCTATGGCCCTGTATTCTTCCCTGAACACGGTGTGAAAGGAATTGATTAGTTGCTGCTGCTCAGCTGTCATCTGGTAGGAGGGATCCTTTGTAGACAGTTGATGGAGAAGTAAAACCTGGAACTCCTTTGATGCCAGGTCTGCTGCTGCATCGCCATGATGGCCATCAAACAAACCAAAAAAGCACACATTAGCTTTATCACCAAAATCATTTGTGACTGTGAATTTACCATTTGGGTTGGCATTCCAGGTTGAATTACTGTTACCACAGATGGCTACAGCTTTAATCAGCAGGTGGCAGATTTTTGGAGAATGTGTAGAAGTCTGGCCCACCTTATCACAAAGTCTGAAGTATGATGGGACTTGTCTCTTCCTAAGCAGCTCAAATGCATAATCCATACTCTGAAGGACTTTTTCACTGAACATAAAGGATGTCAACAGTTTAGAAATTACAAACTGTCTCTGAATACTGACCACTGAGGGCTTCGGTTTCTTCCCTCCCATCCACTGGAAACCCAGTGTACTCAGAGCATTATGATGTTTCTTATGAAGAAAAGTCCCAGCTGTGTTGATTTCTTGGTTGCAGACAGAGCAAGGGAATGTGACCATTTGACCATAAATCAGCTGCTCTATAGAGTCCTCATGGTTACTTGTGGTTCTTGGTCTCTTATGCTTTTTAACACGCTTTTTTTTGGATTTTGTCAGAGGCTCATCCAAAGCAAATGTTGAAGTTTTGGTATTCCACTCTTTTGATTTCCAAAATACACTGGAAGAAAGGTGAAATATGTTTACTGATCAGGAACTAGAGATGTGGCTCAGTGACTAAAAGCACCTGTTCTTACATAGGACCTACATGAGGCCCATAACCATCACTAACTCATTCCAGGAGATCTGATGGCCTCTTCTGATATCTGTGGGCACCACTTCATACATATATAGACAAACCAGGGTGTTCTTTGTAAAATGGACATGCTCTGTCCCTAAACCACTCAGTCCCAAATACTTGGCAGCTGCTTCTAAGTATTATATAACTTATAAATGCTCACCAGCTGATAGCTCAGGCTTATTACTAAATAACTCATGCACTTAATTAACCCATAATTCTTATCAATGTTTACCCACATGGCTTGGTACCTTTCCTCAATATAGCATTCTTACCTTCTCTGCATGTCCTGGTGACTCTGACTTTGCCTCTTCCCAGAATTTTCATAGTCTGGCTTTTGCACTCAATCTCTTCCTGCCCAATAAACTTTTATTTAACGATTAGTATAATTCACAGCAGTTCTTGTTAACTATCTCGCTTAAAAAAGGTAAGTCCCAATCTCAGTAGTAATTTTTCTCCCCCTTGTGCCTTGTATGTGCTAAGGAAGTGCAGTATTTCTGAACTACAGTTATAGTTATAGCCTGCATTTAGTGTGTGTGTGTGTGTGTGTGTGTGTGTGTGTGTGTGTTTGTGCATCCAAATGAATTCAACAACACAAATAGCAGAAAACCTGCAAACTCATGGAAACTGAACAATGTGCAATTGCACCACACCTGGGCCAAAGAAGAAATAAAGAAAGAAATGAAGGACTTTCTAATATTCAACGAGAATGAGGACACAACATACCTGAACTTATGGGACACCTTGAAAGAAGTGCTACGAGGGAAGTTCATTGCACTAAGTGCCCATATGAAGAAAACAGAGGATAGTCACATAAGAGAATTAACAGCACAACTGAAAACCTTAGGACAGAGAGAAGCAAACTCACCCCATAGGAGTAGACGCCAGGAAATAATCAACATGAGGGCTGAAATCAACAAAATAGAAACCAGGAAAACAATTAAAAAATCAATGCAACAAGAGTTGTTTTTTTGAGAATATCAACAAGATAGACAAACTTTTTTCCAAACGAAAAAGCAGAGAGAGAACATGCAAATTAACAAAATCAGAAACAAAAAGGGGAACTTAACAATGGACACAGAGGAAATCCAGACAAACTTGTATTCCACAAAAATTGAAAATTCAAAGGAAATGGACTAATTTATGGAGGACTACCACTTACCAAAATTAAATCAAGAACAGACCACAATGAAATAGAAGCAGTCATTGAAAGCCTTCCAAACAAAAAAAGCCCAGAGCCAGTTGGCTTCAATGCAGAATTCTACAAGAAATTCAAGGAAGAACTAATACCAATACTCCTCAAATTGTTTCACACAATAGAAACAGAAGGTTCATTGCCAAACTCTTTCTACGAGGCCACAATAATCTTCATACCCAAACCTCACAAAGACACAACTAAGAAAGATAAACACCTTCAGCAAACTAGCAGGATACAAGATAAACAAAAAAAAAAATCAGTAGCCCTACTTTATTCAGATGACAAATAGGCGGAGAAAGAAACCAGAGAAACATCACCCTTTACAACAGCCACAAGCAACATTTTGGTGTAATGCTTACCAAACAAGTAAAAGACCTATATAATAAGAAAGTTGTGGCTCTAAAGAAAGAAATTAAAGAAGATACCAGAAAATGGAAAGATCTCCCATGCTCTTGGATAGGTAGCATAAACATAGTAAAACTGGCAATCTTGCCAAAAGCAATCTACAGATTCAATGCAATCCATATTAATATCCCACCACAATTCTTCACCGACCTTGAAAGGATAATAATCAACTTTATATGGAAAAACAAAAGACCCAGGTTAGCCAAAACAACCCTGTACAATAAAAGAACTTCAGGAGGCATTACCATTCCTGACTTTAAGCTCTACTACAGAACTATATTGAAAACAGCCTGGTATTGGCACAAAAATAGACAGGTAGACCAAAGGAATCGAATTGAAAATCCTGATATTAACCCACACACCTATGAACACCTGATTTTTGACAAAACAGCTAAAATCATACAATGGGGCAAGGACAGCATCTTCAACAAATGGTGTTGGCACAATTGGATGAGGGTGTATAGAAGACTGCAGATAGACCCATGTCTGTCGCCATGCATAAAACTCAAGTCCAAATGGATCAAAGACCTCAACATCAATCCAGCCACATCGAACCTCTTAGAAGAGAAAGTAGGAGGTACCCTTGAACAAATTGGTATAGGAGACTGCTTCCTGAACATAACTCCAGGGGCACAGACACTGAGATCAACAATTAATAAATGGGACCTCCTCAAACTTACAAGCTTCTGTAAAGTAAAAAAAGGCAGTTGACAAGACCAAACAGCATCCCAAGTACTGGGAAAAGTGTTTCACCAATTCTACATCTGACAAGGGCTGATCTCCAAAATATACAAAGAACTCAAGAAACTTGTCAACAAAACACCAAATAACCCTATTAAAAATGGGGTACAGAACTGAAGAAAGAATTCTCAGTAGAGGAAATCAAAAAGGCTGAAAGACACTTAAGTGCTCAACATCCTTAGCTATTAGGGAAATGCAAATCAAAACAACTTTGAGATACCATCTTACTCCTGCCAGAATGGCTAAAATTAGAAACACCAATGACAACTTATGCTGGAGAGGATGTGGAGAAAGGGGAACATTCCTCCACTGCTGGTGGGAGTGCAAACTCATACAGCCATTTTGGAGATCAGTATGGCTGTTCCTCAGGAAAATGGGAATTAGTTTACCACAGGACCCGGCAATCCCCCTCTTAGGCATATACCCAAAGGATTCACATCCATGCAACAAAGACATCTGTTCAACTATGTTCATAGCAGCACTATTTCTAATAGCAAGAACCTGGAAGCAACCTAGATGCCCCTCTATTGAAGAATGGATAATGAAGATGTGGCACATCTACACAATGGAATACTACTCTGCAGAAAAAAAATAATGGTATCTTGAAATTCGCAGGCAAGTGGATGGCACTTGAAGAAACCATCCTGAATGAGGTAACCCAGTCAGAAAAATAGGAATATAGTATGTACTCACTCATATATGGATTTTAGACCTAGATCAAATGATCACCAGCCTATAATTCACACCACCAGAAGAACTAGGATACAAGGTGTTCATATAAAGTCCCTCACAGAAGGGGGAAGGGAGAATTCCCCCAGAGCACATGGGAAGTTGGGGGCAGTGAATGGAGAGAGAAGTAGGAGATAGAGAAGGGGAGGAGAGGAAAGCACGTGCTACTAGGAAGATTGAGTCAGGGTAGGAATAGAAGACAGAAGAGAGAGAGAGGGAGAGGGAGAGGTAGGGAGGGGGAGAGAGCGAATGAACATAAAAGTGGGAGCCATTATTGGTTTGAAGAGAAAACTGAACCTAAAGAAAGGTCTAGAGACCTACAAGATTGCCACCAACTAACAATTTGTGCAACCATGGAAAAGCTACTATAAATGCCCTTCCCTGATAGTGATAACAACAAACTTATCCACCATTATGGAGCCCTCATCTAGTATCTGTTGTTAATAGAAGAAAACACCCATAGCTAAACACTGAGTCAAACTATAATCCAGATGCAGAGGGAGAGGACAAGACCAGGTGGCAGAAACACATAGAGACAGTTTACCTGAACAAGGAGAAGCTAAGGGACGCCCCCCAGACTGATAGTTGGGAATCCAGCATGGGAATGACTCAGTCCCCCCACCCTCGAATATGGGTTTCAGCAAGAAGGACTGAGCAGTTTAAGGGACCTCAGACAGTGGAACCAGGATGTATCCCTGGTGCACAAAAGGACCTTGAAGACACATCCCCCTTGGAGGGATACTGCCTTAACCTAGAGGCAAGAGAGAAGTCTAGTCCCTAAATCAAATGACTTGACACATTTACATGACCCCACCTGGATGGCTTGCCCTACATGTGGAATTGGGGTGGGGGTATGGGAGGGGAGGGTGGTCAGGGTGCATGTGAGGGGGTAGAGAGGGATAGTGGAAGCAAGGGAGGGAGGGAGGGAGAGGAAACTGGGATCAACATGTAAAATAAAAACTAAATAATTGAAATAATAAAAAAAGAATTATTCTTTGCTGAGTGATGGTAGTACACACCTTTAATGCCAGGCAGAGGCAGGTGGATCTCAGTGAGTTCAAGGCTAACCTAGTCTACAAAGGGAGTTCCAGGACAGCCAGAATTGTTACACAGAGAAACTCTGCCTTGAAAAACAAACAAACAAAAAAAAAAAAAAAACCAAACAAAAGGACTCATTGAGTTTTAAAATTATAATTGTTATGATTATTATTATTTTGCCAGCCATGCTGGTTTACTCTAGGTTTCTGGGAGGTCTAACATCCTGTCCATGGTCGGACATTTAAAGGTGTGTGCTTCCTCTGGTGGCATGGACCTCAAATTAGAACCTCAAATCAGTCATTAGTTGGTCACTCCCACAAGTTTTGCAGCAACATTGCCCTAGCACATCTTGTAGGCAGGACAGATTGTGGTTGAAGGTTTTGTGGCTGCATTGGTGTCCCAGTCCCAACACTGGCTGCCTTGCCTGGTTATAGAGGATGGATGGTTCATATTTCTTAACTTCATTAGTAAGAGTCCTTGCTAGGGTCACTCTTGTAGATTCCAGTAAGTTTATGTCCACTTGCCTCCCAAATGTCCTCCTATTCCAGGTGTCTCACCTGTATGCTTTCTCTTCATCCTTGTCACCTGATCCCTGCTATTCCATCTCTACCTGCCCCCAGTCCACCAGCAAAATCTATTTTAGTTTCCTTTCCTAGGGAGATCCATGTATTCCTCCTAGAGCACTCTTTGTGACTTAGCATTTCTGGGTCTGTGGATTGTAGCATGGTTATAATTTACTTCACAGTTAATATCCATTTATAAGTGAGTACATACCATTTTTGTCTTCCTGGGTCTGTATTATCTCACTCAGGATGAATTTTTTTTCTAGTTCTATCCATTTTCCTGCATTTAAAAAAATTTGTTGAGTAGTACTCCATTGTATAAATGTACCAAGTTTTCTTTATTCATTCTTTGGTTGAGAGACATTTAAGGTGTGGCATTGATTCTTTGAAATCTGTTAAAATTCTGCACTAAAACTGTCTGGCTCTGGAGTTATTTGATTGGACTTAATGACTGCTTCTATTTCCTTAGGGGTTATAGTTCTATTTAAATTGTTTAATCTGATCTTGATTCAACTTTGTGGAGTACAGGTTTTTAAAGCATGACCTAATGATTCTTCGGATTTCCTTGGTGTCTGTTGCTATGTCCCCCTTATTGTTTCCGATTTTGTTTATTTAGTTTGGATAAGAGTTTATCTATCTTGTTGATTTTTCTCAAAGAACTCCTTTCATTAATTGTTGGTATTGTTCTCTTAGTTTCTGTTTTATTGATTTCAGCCCTCAGTTTGATTATTTTCTGCTGAGTATTCCTCCAACAAGAGTTTCCCTTTTTTGGTAGAGCTTTCAGTTGTGCCGTTAAATTGCTAGTATGAGATCTGTCCAATTTTCTTGTGTAGGCATTTAGTGCTATTAACACTGCTCTGTGTTCGGTAAGTTTGGGTATGTTGTATATTCATTTTCATTGAATTCTAGAAAGTGTTTCTGTCTTGTTCCCTTTTTCATTAAGTAGAGAGTTGTTCCATTTTCATGCATTTGTAGGTTTTCTATTGTTTTTGTTGTTGAAATCCATCTTTAATCTGTGGTGATTTGATAGGATGCAGAGTGTTATTTCAGTTTTCTTGTATCTGTTGAGACTTGCTTTGTTATTGAGTATGTGGTCAGTTTTGGAAAAAGCTCTATGAGGTACTGAGATGAAGGTATAATCATTTGTGTGTGGGTGAAATGTTCTGTAGGTATCTGTTAGATCCATTTGGTTTATAATGTTTGTAGCTCCAGCATTTCTGTGTTTAGTTTCTGTCTGGATGACATGTCCATTGGGCAGAATGGAGTATTTAAGTCTGCAATTACTAATGTGTGAGGGTCTGTGAGTGATTAAAGTTTTAGTAATGTTTCTTTTACAAATGTAGATGCCCTTGGATTTAGGTCATGGATGCTAAGAATTGAAGCATCATCTTGGTGGATTTTTACTTTAATAAGTATGAAGTGTTCTTCCACATCTTTTTTGATTAATTTTGGCTTGAAGTCTGTTTTGTTAGACATTAGAATGGCTAATGTTTTTCCAACTCTTTACTCTGAGACAATGTCTATATTTGATGTTGAGGAGTATTTCTTGTATACTGCAGAAAGATGAATCCTGCTTTTGTATCCATTCTGTTAATCTGGGTCTCTTTATTGGGGAATTAGTCCATTGATATTGAGAATTGATATTGAGAGATATCAATGACAAATGATTGTTAATTCCTGTATTCCTGTTTTTTTTGTTTTTTTTTTGTTTTTTTTTTTTTGTGTGTGTGTGTGTGTGTGTGTGTGTGTGTGTGTGTGTGTTGCTGGAGCACCTTTTTTTGATTTTGTTGGTGTGAGATTATTTATTTGATGAATTTTCAAGGTTGTAATTAGACACCTAAGGTTGGATTTTTCCTTCTAGCATCTTCTGAAGGGCTGGATTTGTAGACAGGTATTGTTTAAATTTGACTTTTTCATGGAATATTTTATATTATCCATTTACTGTATTAAAAGTTTTACATTGTATAGTAGTCTGGGCTGCCATCTGTAGTCTGTTAGAATCTACAGGACATCTGTCCAGATCCTTCTGGCTTTTAGAGTCCACTTTAATAGGTCTGCCTTTATATGCTTTTTACTCTTTTTTTTCCTTGCAGTTTTTAATATTCTCCTTTGTTCTGTATGTGTAGTATTTGATTATTTTGTGGCAAGGGTGCTTTCTTTTCTGGTCCAGGCTATTTGGTGTTCTCTATGTTTCTTATACCTCATAGGTATCTCCTTCCAGGTAGGAGAATTTTCTTCTTTGAGCGGGTATACTTCTTCTTCCTCTATTCCTACTGTTAGGTTTGTTTTCATAGTGTCCCAGATTTCACTCATGTTTTGTGTCAGTAGATTTTTTTTTTTAGATTTAATATTTTATTTGGTCAGTGTATCTATTTCTTCTATTGTATCTTCAACACCCTAGATTCTCTCTTCCATCTCTTATATTTTGTTGCTGATGCCTGCCTCTGTAGATCCTGTTCTCTTACCTAGACTTACCATTTCCAGAATTCCTTCAATTTGTATTTTCTTTATTGTTTTTATTTCCATTTTCAGGTCTTGAAACTTTTATTACTTTTTGTCAACTGTTTTTCTTGTCTGTCTTTAAGGTATTTATTAATTTCCTCTTGGATGATCCCTATCATTTTCATAAAGTTGACTTTAAGGTCTTTTTCTTGTGCCTCAGCTGTGTTGGGATACTCAGAGCTTGCTGTATTATTTTAAGAAGTGTTATATTTATTTATGTTGTGGAACATTTGTTTAATGTTGCAAAGATGTGTTGAATTATCTTATGTTGTATTTAGCTCTGTGAAGCTGTGTTACTTTCTGTCTCAAACACCTGATTGGTGTAACATAGAGTTGAACAGCCAATAGCAAGGCAGGAGAAAAGATAGGTAGGGCTGACAGGCATACAAAATAAAAGAGGAGGAGAAATCTGGGAGGAGGAGATCAAGGAGCAAGAAAAGGAGGAGGACATTAGGGGTCCCCCACCCAGCCACACAGCCAGTCACAGAGTAAGAATGAAAGTAAGATAAACAGAAGAAGGAGGAGGAGGAGAAGGAGAAGATGGAGAAGGAGGAGGAGAAGAAGAAAGGTAAAAGCCTAGAGGCAAAAGGAAGACAGGATAATTTAAGAAAAGCTTGCAAGAAACAAACCCAGCTAAGGCTGGGCATTTATAAGTAAGAATAAGCCTCCATGTGGACTTATTTGGAAGCTGGGTGACAGGCCTCTCAAAGAACAAAGAGCCAAAAGAGCAAAAAGTAAAAACAAGAAACAACATAGTGGGTCTCTGGTGGCGACATATTGCCTTCAGTGCTGTTGATTGTATTCTTATGATGGCATCTAGGTATCTGTTTTGAGGGTGATGGTAGATCTAGGTGCTGTTTTCTGAGTTTGTCTTTGTTAGATGGGTGTTTAATTCCTTGGTTTCTGTTTCCTCTCTGATTTTTTTGTTGCTATGGCCTTTGGCTAAACAGAGGGTCTCCACCTGCTTTAGGGCGCTGGGACAGAGACATCACGAGGGATGGGGGTTTGTGGATAGGGTCTGACCCACTCCCTTGGTGGCCTCTGGTAAAGCAAACAACTGTTTGTTTTTTTTTGTTTTTGTGAGACAGGGTTTATTTATGTAATAGTCCTGGCTGTCCTGGAATTCCCTTTGTATACCAGGTTAGCCTTGAACTCACTGAGATCTACCTGCCTCTACCTCCCAAGTGCTAGTATTAAAGGCGTGTGCCACCACTGCCAGCCAGCAGAAAATAATTTTAACAAAAATTATAGAAAATACAGAACATCAAATAAACAGGGCCATAAAAGAAATTCCTCGCAGCACATAATAATGAAAATACTAAATGTACAGAACAATAACAATAAGATTTTAAAAGCTGCAAGAGAAAAAGACCAATTAACACATAAAAGCAGGACCATGAAAATAACACCTGACTTTTCGATAGAGACTCTGAAACCCAGAAGGGCCTGGCTGGTTTCTCCCTACAAGCTCCAAGAGACAAGGTGATATCCCAAACTACTATACCCAGAAAAACAATCACAATTGATGTTTTAAATTTCACTATAAAACCAAATTTAAATAATTTCTACCTACCAATTCAGTTCTAAGTAAGCAGTAGAAGAAAAAGATCAGTCTTAGGAGGTTAACTACACCAAAGAGGACACAAGGAATAAATAATCCCAGAACAGTACAACAAAAGGGGGTAACCCACACCACCACAACAAAATAACTAGAATCAATAAGTAATGCTTATTAATAATTTTCAATATTATGGTCTTGGTTCCCCCAATGAAAAACAAATTGGACTAGAAAACAGGGTCTTTCTGCAGCATCCAAGAAACATACCTGGCCAAGAAGCATACCTCATCAAGAAGCACACCTCACCATCAAACAATAAATATAACCCAACCATATAAACAGACAAATACAAAACCCACATGATTATCTCATTAGATAACAGAAAAGGTCTCTGACAAAAATCCAAGATCCCTTCATGATAAAAGTTCTGGAGAAACTAGGGACACAAGGGACATACTTCAACATAATGAAGACAATTCACAGCAAGCTCACAATCAGCATCAGCCTAGAGAGCCAAAGCAATTCCACTGAAATTGGGAACAAGACAAGGTTGTCTACTCCATATCTATTCAATAGTTATTAAAGTCTTAGCTAGCACAATATGATAACTGAAGGAGATCAAGGGAATACAAATTAGAAGGGAAGAAATGAAAGTAGCTTTATTTGTAGATATAATTTTGTACATAGAAACTCCACCAGGGTTAGCTAATAAACACCTTCAACAAAGTAATGGGATACAAAATTAACACACAAAAACCGTATATATAAATGACAGATTAAGAAAAAAAAAAAAAAATACCGGAGCAGTGTGAAGAAGCAGCGAGAACGACCCCCGGCTGGGCCAAACCCGCGCACTGCTGCAGCAGCCCCGCGTTCTGCGCCGCCATCCCCCGCCGCCACCATGCCCAAAAGAAAGGCTGAAGGGAATACTAAAGGAGATAAAGCCAAGGTGAAGGACGAGCCACAGAGAAGATCCGCGAGGTTGTCTGCTAAACCTGCTCCTCCAAAGCCAGAGCCCAAGCCTAAAAAGGCCCGTGCAAAGAAGGGAGAGAAGGTACCCAAGGGGAAGAAGGGGAAAGCGGATGCTGGCAAGGATGCAAATAATCCTGCAGAAAATGGAGACGCCAAAACAGACCAGGCACAGAAAGCTGAAGGTGCTGGAGATGCCAAGTGAGATGTGTGCATTTTGATAACTGTGTATTTCTGGTGACTGTACAGTTCGAAATACTATTTTTTTATCAAGTTTTATAAAAATGCAGACTCTTACTTTTTTTTTTTTAAGCTATGTTGTTAGCACACAGAACATTTCATTGTTTTGGTGGGGGAGAGGGGGAGGAACATGTGTCACTAGCAAAATGTTTTCCAAGATGGATTGATGATGGTTGATGAAAGCATCTCTCCTTGACAATTTAAAGGTCTCCTCTTGGCTCAGGAGAGACGTCCTGGTGTTGACATATGTGGCCACCATGGCAAAGAATGCCTTGTGTGGGAAAACTAAATTCATATTTTATATCCTCTTCCCCTTGTACCATCAACATAGACTTAACTCCCTTAAAACCAGAGACCTGCTAAAATTGGTTTTGCTGGTCTATTGGGCAATCTGGACTTTGCAGTGATAATTATCCTCAAAGGAGCATCGGTTCCTTTTATAGACAAGATTGTGGATCTTCAGAATGATAATTCTGCCGTTTTCATTTCGTTTGTCTGAAAGTCAGTGTCAGCTTGTGAAAAGTTGTTAAACAACATCCTTAATGTGAAATGTCAACCCCCATTCTAAGTTCTTCCCCTTTTCAAAGCATTGAATGAAGACTTCACTGGGTTTTATAGTGGCTTTCTGATTTTTGTAGTCTATACAAGAAGGGAGTTTGGAAGTTCTTGTAAACTGTTAATGATTGTCTGCCCATGTCCTGCCTGAAATACCATGATTGTTTATGGAAAGTATCTTTAATAAAGCTGGATAAGGTTTGGCTTGGGGGAAAAAAAAGAAAAAAAATACCTTTTATAACAGCCTCAAATTTGGGGATAAATCTAAGAATGTGAAAGATTTGTATAATAAAAAATAATACATTAAAATAAGAAAATTGAAGAAGACACCAGATTATGGAAAGATCTCAGGTACTCACGGAGTGGTAGATTAATACTGTGAAAATGGCCATCCTGCCATAAGCAATATAGAGATTCAAATCATTCTCCATCAAAACTCCAAAACAACTTTTCATAGAAATTGAATAAACAATTTTCTACTTCACAGAGAAACAGGAGGCATGAGGAACCAGGATAGTTAAAACAACCCTGAAAAAAAAAATGCTAGAGGTGTTACTATCCCATATTTTAAGTTGTTTTAAAGAGCTATAGTAATAAAGACAGCATGATATTAGCAAAAAAAAAAAAAAAAAAAAATGTTGAAAATGGAATAGAACTAAAAACTCAGGTATGAGTTTCCATACCTATGGAAATTTGAGTTTTGACAAAGAAGCCAAAAATACACAATAGAGAAAATACAGTATCTTTAACAAAGGCAATTGGTCAAAATGGATGGCTGTATGTTAATGAATGAAAATAGATTTATATTCATCACCCTGCACAAAACTCAACTCTACATGGATTAAGGACCTCAACAAAAGACTAGATACCCTGAATATGTTAGAACAGAAAGGGGAACAGTCTTGAACTCATTGGCATGGGAAAGGACTTTCTCAAGAGGGCACTGACAGCACAGACATTAAAACAGAACCTCATGAGCATATAAAATATAAGAAGAAAAAAAAGCCACAACATAAAAAATAAATAAGCCAATTAAAAGTGGAATATAGAACTAAACAGAGTTTTCTCAAAAAAAAAATGAAATTCAAATAACTTAAAGAAACATTCACTTAAAGAAATGTTCAACAGTTGGGTGAAGGTGGTACATGCCTTTAATCTCAGCACTAGGGAGGCAGAGTCAGGTGGATTTCTGAGTTTGAGGCCAGCCTGGTCTATAGAGCAAGTTCCAGGACAGCCAGGACTACACAGAGAAACCCTGTTTCAACAACAAATAAACAAACAAATAGAAAGTTTTGGTGTTTGACTTTTTTTGTTTTGTTTTGTTTGGGGAGGCAGAGTTGGGGTCTTACTGATTTTTGTATCTTGTGATTTGTTTTTTGAAAGATTGAGAAGGAACATAGGGAGATGGATAGGTTCAGGGAGGAGTTGGGGCTGGGGAAACATGATCAAATACTTTGTATGGAAAATAAAGGATTCGCCTGCCTCTCAGGGCAAAATATTTTCTCTTGTTTTCTAAGTTTTATAATCTTAGATTCCATATTATGATCCATTTTAATTGACTCTGTATCTTAGTTCTCTAGGTATACAGTGCAGACTTATGATTGTTTCAAAATTATCTGTCATCACAGCTCTTTCCTCTAGCAAGATTTGTCTTTTCATACTTGTCAAAATCTGTTGTCTGTATGTGTGTGGGTTCATTTTTGAGCACTAACTGTTGCATTGAGCTCTTTATCTACATTTATACAAATGCTCTATCCTTGTTACAATGACTTTGCAATTCTTGAAACAAAGTAGTGTTGACACTGATATTCTTGCAGTTTTTAAAGGCTATTTGGTCATAGATCACTTCCATTTAGGTTCAAATTACACAAACCCTTTGTTGATTTTTCAAAATTATAAGTTCTTGGATGAAAACAAAAACTTTCTTGAAAGGCAAATTGATGGGAGATGTAATTCTGTAAATATGTTTCTCTTATCGGTTAATGAATGAAGCACTGTTGGCCAATAGGAAAGCAAGATAGGTGGGACTAGGAGACTAGGAGGAGAGAGGAAGTAGTAGGGAGGAGTTCCAAGATGGAGGATGGAGAGAGAAGAACACCAGCCCCTATCTCCAGTAAGATAAGACCACGTGGAAGTACTTAGATTAATAGAAATGGGTTAATATTTAAGACAGAGCTAGCCAACAGAATTATATCTACTACAGTATCTCTGTGTGTTATTTGGGGCTGGCATGGTGGTGGGACCAGACCGGCAGGGAAAATACTCAGAACAGCAAGTGAATTTAGAATTTGTCATTTTCAACCAGTAAAACAGAAAGTTTTAATATAAAGCAAAGCAATACATTGAGTTGGACATATTTGCTATTTGGAAGGCTGAGACAGGCCTACTTCCTTATTAAGGTCAGTCTCAACAACGTAGTAAGAGCTTTCTCAAAATAAAATGTCTGAAAGTTATGGTTAGGCTCAAAAGGTGGCTCAGGGGCAAAGCCACTTGCATATCACCAAACCTGATGACCTGAGTTTGATCTGTAGAAAGGAAAGCTGACTGTGACCTCGACACACTTGATAGAGTACATGTGCATCCTTCCCTCAAACACACAAATGTACGTTCTAAAAAAGACTACTTTAACTGGTAGTAGTTTGTTATAGTAGTTTTGTGTAAAGTTCAAGGACAGCCTGGTATATAAATTAGACATTTTCAGGTCACCCAGAGCTAGATATGAGACCTTTAAAAAAAAAGCCTGGAGTAGTCTGGTGGTAGAACTGCACACCTACAGTGCATAGGCCCTGTATTCAACCCCCAAACAAAGCCCCCCCAAAAAAGCCAAAATGGCAAAAGTTCATTGTTTGATGATGATAAAAAGAAAATAGAAGAGGAAGAAACTTTACAGAATCCATGAGTGCTATGGTGATGTAACAGTTCTGTTCTGGTTTCTTTTGAGACAGGCTGTAGCTTCAACTGGCTTGGAAAGCCACTCTGGGGCTTGGAATCACTCCAATTGACAGCAGTGCTTAGTCTCCAGAGTGCTGGAATGGCAGGCTACCTGTCTAGTTAGGGGTGACAACATTTGCAAGGATGAAAAAAAAAAAAAAAAAAAAAAAAAAACAGGAGGGTGCTAACTTCAAAATAAACCTGGGCTATATAGCAAGACCCTCTCTCAAAAATAGAAAACTCTAGATTGAGTCCATATTCATGTTCCTGTCATCATAATATATTGTATCTAGCTTTATTTTTTGAAGTGGATTCTCACTTAGCCCCTGTGCTCTTGCATTTGCTACACAGCAGAAGATGACCTTAATCTCCTGACCTCCCTCTACCTCCTGAGTGCTGGAGTTTCAGGGACCCATCACCATGTTTGGCTTGTTGTAACGTTATTAAAACCTTGCTCTTTATTGGTTAAGTTTTAACATAGCAGGAGGGCAGAGAGATCTCAACAAAAGATCTAAGGCAAATTGAAGGGAATGGCCAACAGGGCAAAAGGAGAGAGACAAGATGAGGTGAACAAGGCACTAAGAGGCCAAGGGAGGAAAATATCCAGGAGTTCTAGGCCAACCTGGACTACAGAGTAAATTTTAGGTCTTTCCCCTGCACTCCCCTAAAAAAGGAAATGAAGATCTACAAAGAAAATAGATTTGTAGAAAGCAGAATAAGAAAGTAGAGGGCACAAAAGCTTTTTGGTTTTTATTTATTTTTGAAATCCAGGTTGGTGTTGAACTTTCTTTAAACAAGGATGACCTTGAACTTCTGATTTTCTTGCCTCTACCTCAAGGGTCTAGGACAACAGACATGTGCTGCCACTTGCATCTTCTTTGTGGATCAAATACAGACCTTCATGCATGCTAAACATGCACTCAACCACCAAGGGTTTTAAGCTATTTTGAATAAAATGTATATTAAATTTTTGCTTGCTTTTAAAAAATAATTTCATGTATAAGATATAGTTTTTGAGCTGTGATCACCTTTGGAGAGTTAATATGAGGTAATAAAACATAGCAATAAAATGAGCCCTAGCAACATTCTGCTATTTGGCTATCATCAATGAAGCTTCCTCCTGCAGTAGATGGGAACTAATACACAGACCACACATAGCCAATGTGTAGTGATGAGCGACTTTGAAACATTC